CTACAATCTCAGATGTAACAATCACAGCCAATTGAACAGGGCTGACAAAGACCAGCCTCCCTGGCTCTTAAAGGGAAAGTTACCCTGCTACTGGCACCTATTGCTATACGTGCACTGACTTATTCAAATGCTCCTCCATTTACAGTTGTTTTACTGTCATAAGAGCTTTTCTTTTTCTAAAGCCTTTGAAGTCACTTGAAAAGCTCCCCATCCTTTCGGGGGGATTTTTCTGAATTAAGCTGTTAAACCAGTGTATTCATTTTGTTTTGTTGTATTTATTTATTAATTTTTTGGGTTGGAGTTTATTTTGCTTTCTAAAATTGTGTTATTCCTAGCGCCCCTGCCCCCTTTTTTTAGTGTTCATGGATGATTCGTTTCATGGATGTTCTTAGCTGCTATGATTAGTGGGAGGGGGAACCGGTGTAACATATTCTATGGCTGTTATCATGGCTGACATAACTGATATATGTTTCCTTGTTTCTATTGTTCTTACTGTCCTTGCAATGCTGGCAATATCTACCCATACTTCTCCTGATGCCTTGCTTAGCACCAGTGTTTGTTTCTGCCCATGACACTGATTTGCCAGACCTCTGCAATTTATTCTTGTCTCTGCAATGGCAAGAGTACAGTAGTTTTCAGTCCTTATTCTGTTGTTTCTGCCATGATTATAAGATTTTTTTCTGGCCTTTTTTGTTCCTCTGCTGTAACTCTGATGCTAATGCTGCAATGGCAATCTTTGTTCTGGACTTGTTTATTATCCTTTCCATAACATGTGCCATGATTATACCCTTCCTGCTTGCCTTTATTTTTGATATTAACATTTGTTGAATGTTAGATAGCTGAGGAAGGTGACTGTATCTTCCTTTCCTTTTGGGATTTTTCTTGCTGCTTCCATTTGATTTCTCACTAAGGGCTTGGACAGACATTCTCCAGGGAGAGTCCTTGTTCTCTCAGGAGAAACCATGAGTGTACAAAATTTTGTAATTTTTCTCCCAGAGTAAAAGTGACAAGTCTGGGAGAAAAACAAGTTAGGAGCAACACAAGTGAAGTGGCTCCCCAAAGAATCTCTCTCAGGAAATAAAACTTCTGTACAGGCAACCAGTGTGCTTTGCTGTTTCTCTCTCCCCCTCCCACAGAAGGAAGGAGATCGTGTTAGTGCCAGTCAAGCAGGGAGCAGAACATGGCCCCTGAGTGCTTCAGGCTGGAAAAGCCCGGTGCTGAAGTAGTTAGGGTGCATCTTCCACTCCTGGCTTCTTCCCTGCCTGAATCACACTGCTGCACTTGGGTGCAAGGAAGCTGTGGAAGCAGGAGGCTACTCACAAAGGGGAACCTGAGAGTAGGGACCATGAGAAATCCCTCTCCCATACCTGGGCAACACAGCTGAGTCTGGTAAGGGCTGGAGACTCCTTTTGTGTTCTTACAGGGACAATGAAGGTGGCAGCTGTTTGATGCGGTGCACAGTGGCCCTGAATTGTAAGCTTCTGCTCCATCTACATTGGAGGACACCAGGGAGCTGGTCAGATAAACAAATATCCAGCACGGGCAGAAGCCAAAGTGAGGGAGCTGGCAGAATGGGCAGTGAAGCTGCAGGGTGATGAGGGGCTGAAAAACCATGCTGCATCCAGTGAGGGAGGAGTTTCAGGGCTCTGGGTGCTCAGAGGAGTCCCCTTCAACAGGTACCAGAGCCCCAGGAACAAGAGAAGGGAGAGAAGGCTCCAGGAGACCCCTGTTGGGCTGGATTCAAGTGAAGGAAGTGAGATCTCTTTCCTGACTGAGGCTGGAGGCAGGGAGTAGATGCTCCAAGGTACTACCATGGAGTGGGAAGTCTACAGCCCCAGGACCCAGCGCAGAGAGCCAGAGGCAAGGGCAACAGCAGGCATGAATTAAAGAAGAGTGACCAAGTTAATATGATTGATTGGATGATTGTGGATACTTGATAATCAATACGTTACAGACAATTGTGAATTCCTTTCTGAATCACCAGATCATCAAAGAGCATTAATTTAATGGTTTGATTTTCTAATGGCTGGATGATTGGCCAGTGGGCTTGGAGTTCCCTCAGTTATGATGATGTGATTATCCCCTGGAATTAACTGGATGAATTGAGTTTAGAGTTGATTTTGATTGCCTACTAGAATTAATTGGGGAGGACTAAGGTTTTTAATTATTGGAATTGATCGAGTGGATGAAGATCCCAGTTGTTATGAATTGTGCACTCTTTTGATTTTGTCATTATTTATTTTTAATCAACTGCAAATATAATAAGAGAAGGCAGAAATAGATTTGACCCAGGGCCTGAATCAATGGCTAACATTCTGAGATCATATTAATAATCCATAATGACCTGATATCTGGGTGGCACCTTGCCACAAGAAGAGAATAGGCTTGACTTACTATAGCCGATAGGCATGTGGACAGAGTATAAGGAGAGGTGGAGCCCCAAAGAGAGCCTTCGTGTACGACCAGAGTAAGAGCCCTTCTGCTGACCAGGAACCCCCCTCTCTGCCCCACACTACAGACAAGATTAAGACATGGCAGGTGAGCAGAGGGTACATGCCATGAGTGGGACATATTGAGGGACAAGCTGTCAAACCTAAAGAGCCAGCATTTGGAAGCTTAAGCTCTAAATCCTAGCAACATAGGACATATCTCACAGAAGCATACAGGCATATGCCCTGCCCAGCCTTAGCTGGGCTCCAATAGAATAAGGGGAAGGGAAAAATCTGGAGGACTTTTCTCTGTACACCAGAGACCCCATCCTCACTTTCCCTGACCCTGATGACCCCTGCCTACATTCACTTAAAAGAAAGCCTACAAATCTCTCTTGGCTGCATGCTGGCGGACAAGTGTCCATACTGTAGCTCTTTGCTTCTCTGTCTGAACTTCTGTACAGGTCATTTTTTCTCTCAGAAAAGCAAACCTGGGAGAGTTGTTCTGGATCATCTGAAAGTGTGTACACAGCCAAAGACTCCAGCAATAAGAGTAATGCAAGCAACATACTTCATTTTACAGAACATCAGTTTGTAAATGGAACTCCTAGGCAATCTTTACACACTACAGAAAATGTGGACAAAACCAGAATTGTTTTCATCTCTACTTTCACATTCACATTGAAATTAAATTTGAAAATGAACATTTTTAGATTTTGATGCCTGAAATTTCAGGTTTTGAAAGGGATTTGGAGAATTTTATTGAAAAAACTTCAGATTAATCAACATTTAATGAAACATTTTGGCAGATACCATAAACAGCTCTGCTGTCTTTTATTTTTCCTTAATTTCTGCTGGTGCGCACAGTTCTTATTTTCAACACTGTAACCCCAGAGGAATTAACAGAGTTGTACAAGTGTAAATGAAAGCAGGATTTGGCCCTGTGTGTTTAATTGGAATAAAGAGAGCATGTTAAAATTAATTAAATGAAATAGCCAATTCTGTTTTCATTTACACCCAGACAACCCCTTTGGGACCAGTGGGTTTCACAGATATAAATAAGAACAGAATTGGCCCCATGTATTTCATTATAAACTGCCATATTTCTTCCAAACACCTGTTATGAGGTTGCAAGAGGTGAACTAAATGATAAGAATGTCCATAGGGTTTCTTTATGCCACAGCCCCATTTAGTCTTTGTTGTAATTTATGAAGGGCAAAAGAAGAAAACAATAATTTCTGTGCTCAATCCATTACTCCAGAGTAACAGGAGTGTTAAAACTGACAAATCTTCAATGTGTTTCATTCTAGGAACAGCTGGGACATAGTTCATACTTAAAAACATGGTTTATATAAAATGTTATATTGGAGGGTAAATTGTGCTTATAATATATCGTCATCAGAACGGAAACTAATTTTAGAGTTTGAGAAGTGCCAGACACCACTGTACATAGGCAAGACCAAACTGTAAGTGATTTTCAATTTAAAAATCAACCTGAAGCCAGACTAAATTCCATTTACAAATTTAGACATTTTACTCTGTATAGAAAAGACAAGGAAGTAGAAAAATATCCTGCAATCAGCAGCTGGCTTGAAGATTGTATAGTCACACATTGTATTACATTCTGGATTATAGAACAATGTGACTATCTTCTGCTTAGGGAATGTGTTGTGAATGAGAGAGAAAGCTTGATTTAATAAATAATATCTTATCATATAGAGATTACAGTTGAATGAACAAAGCATTAAGTTTGCAAAACACCCAGAGCATCCTCATCTGAACATTACAGGTCTATAAAATAGAACTATCTTGACAGACTGATGGGTTCCTATTCTTCCCTTAGAATTTACTCATATCCTACAAAGGGATGAAGGGATAAGAGAAGAATAAGGACAATCTGACTTGTTCTTTGATAGGTAGTTTTCTCACAGCATTAATGGCCTTCTGTTTCTAGTTTCAATTAGGCCATGTAAGGGTAGCATAAAAATTATAATGAAAATTTTAACACAACTTTTCCAAAACACTTGGAAGTGCAGAATTTGCATTTTGACATGGGTGCAAACTAGATCCTTTTCTATCTAAACCTGTTCATCACCCACTCACTTTTTCCTCAGCCCATAGCTGAACTGAAAGGGCAGAGGGAAAGCAAAATCAGTTACTGTAAAGGGAATTAATATACTATAGCTCAGTCAGTACACTGATGGATGGTTAGGGTTTGCAGAACTGGGCCATTGTGTGTGGCCTTTCTCAGGAATATTAAATGTGTATTTTACAATAATAGGGCCTTCCAAACATGTAACATTTTGCTTTAAATTATAGCCTTAAAATGTGGAATAGAAAGATAATTGCACTCTCCCTGTGCCATCAGACACGCTGACAGGGAATTGTCTAATTAATTCCATTTGTGTGTGTAAAGCAGTGTGTTCCATTTTCCTTCTTTTAAAAACACTGGAACAACCTACTGTAGATAAGCAACCCGAGCATCAACTTCATGACAGCTAAATATTAAAATGCAGTGTTAGAGGCTCATCAAAATGTACTTCCTGATTTAATACATTCTTAAATTCACAGGCATGCTGGTCCTGGATACTTGGGAAGCTAAACACAGCTGGCTTATCTAGTCTAGGATGTTGTCTGGTCTGAGGAACCAGTGACTGCTGTAAGGTAAGATGTACTGTAAATGGCTACAGATAGAAGAAAGTGATAAACAACTTTGGAAAGCAGTATTTTAGTGACTCCTAAGATATCAAACCTTCAAGACACATAAATCTGATTACCATCCTGCCTTTCTTTTTTTCAGTCCTGACCTAATTTTAGTGGAGGCTATCTCAGTTTTCAGGAAGCAGCCGAAGAGACGTGTGGTATTGGAGACCAGAACCAACAGAATATTAGTTAAAGCATATGACCCACTACCCCGGGCAGCAGAGGGGAGGGAAGGGGGATCTACTGGCACCTAAACAGAGGTTCTCAGAGAAGAACATTGTGCTTCATTTAAACCAAACATTTGTGTGTGTGTAAAATGTCTGTGAGTGGCTCCATTTTTGCAGCAAACCATAGATTCAAAAGGGACATATGCTGAGAAGTTTTATTTTTGAGACAAATGGCTTACAAAGCTCAAAAAATGTCACCAATGTGGCAGTAATGACTTTGTTACTTGTGTGATGAAAGAAAGAAACGTGAGCTCACCTAACCTCTTGTCATTCAAGACCTTACTACAGATGACATCCTTACCCCTTACCCTGTCTCATTGCAACCTAGATGAATGGATCAGCCAGGTCTATGATCGCACCGCTATTTCCAGCTGCTTCCTCAATGATACATGAGCCTAGAAGAGAAAGTGGAAGAAGAGTGGTTTTTACTATTGCAGGATATGCCCAGACGGCTAAGGGCACTGATGCCTCCCTCATTTATTTAAAGGTCAGGCTATCACCTCATATATGCTAGAGCCCTGTTCTCAAGAAAACGTTTTTCAAATGCACCCACTTAGTATGAGAATCCCATGTGAGAGGCAATGAAGAAGTATACAGATCTCTCTACCACTAGTCAAGAACGTTCTGCAAGGTAAACTCACCTGCTGTGAAATAAAGTAAGAGTTTGTACTCAGGTACACTATATTGTTAAGCTCTCTTTTGTACTCTGTTTTGACCATGACATTTCCCCATGCACCTTCTGGATAAATCTAACAGCTGGACACTTTCGTGGGGCTATACATTTATAATGCTTCAAGATCTAGTCTGGTCAATATTCTTTTTAACTTAGGGGGAAACCTCTTTGAGATGACATCTTACAGAGTCCCCTAATGGTCTCTCACATAAGTTATGGAGACTAGTTCAAGTGTGATGAAGTTTACATATGGAAGGAGGGTGGGGAATATACAAATGGAGCAACTCCTGTGGTGAATATTTATTGTCAAATGACCTTCTTTGTCAAATATATTTCTTTGTATATATTTCTATTTCTATTCATTTTAAACTTGGTGAGAACTTTGTAATGTATACAAAGCAAATTGTGACCCTAAACTACATGTAAGGAAAAAAAAAAGATTTTTTTTTTTTTTCCAGTGGTGAATGCTGCTTTATGAACATCCACTAAATTTCCCCTTCTAGGTCCAGACACTTTTTCAACTCCTTGAAAATGAGGGAAAAATCAGAAACTTATATCCCAACACTTGCAAATTTTATGGTGGGTGAGGAAACAGATCTGACCTTTTCCCACTGTTTTCAGGACACATTTAAGCTAGAGACTAGTCTATTGTCATTTTTCTGTTTTGTTTTGTTTTTTTGTTCCTCTTCCTTCCCCTGTTCCCCCCACCCTCCTTTCAGATACAGCCAAACTCTTAGAATATTACATATTTAGAGTTGGTTAATGTTCAGTCTGTACTCTCAGGCATCTATGATCACTTGAGATATCTAAAAGTGCAACAGGATCTGGATCTTAAAGGACAAAGTCAACACTTCGACTATTGTTTTCAGGTTTATCAGTCAGTAACCTTCCAGAATATCAGTAGGAATAGGGAGGGACAACACATTTCTTTGAGTTCTTTGCCTCAGTGTTCCTAAGCGAAGGGCACAACAAGTCTCTCACTGGGGTTGTAGAGAGGCAGCAGCAAGACGCCAGACTACCATGTGTAGACCCTGAGATGGTGCAGAGTCATTTGGAAGAACTGGATGCCTTTAAGTCGGCAGGCCCGGATGAGCTCCATCCGAGAGTGCTGAAGGCACTGGCCGACATCATTGCAGAGCCACTGGCGGGAATATTTGAAAGCTCATGGCGCATGGGCCAAGTCCCAGAGGACTGGAAAAGGGCCAACGTGGTCCCCATTTTCAAAAAGGGGAGGAAGGAGGACCCAGGCAACTATAGGCCAGTCAGTCTCACCTCCATCCTTGGCAAAGTCTTTGAAAAAATTATCAAGGCTCACATTTGTGAGAGCCCGGCAGGACAAATTATGCTGAGGGGAAACCAGCACGGGTTCGTGGCAGGCAGATCGTGCCTGACCAATCTAGTCTCTTTTTATGACCAGGTTACGAAACGCCTGGACACAGGAGGAGGGGTGGATGTCGTATATTTAGACTTCAGGAAGGCCTTCGATACGGTATCCCACCCCATACTGGTGAACAAGTTAAGAGGCTGTGACTTGGATGGCTACACAGTCCGGTGGGT